GTTGTGTCATCTGCATAATGTAGGTTGTTGATGACTCTTCCATGACAATCCTGATGCCACATTCTTCCTCGTACAGACCAGCATCTCGGATGATCTGTTCTGCATATAGACTGAAAAGGCATGGTGATAGAATACATTCTTGGTGGACCCCCTTCCCAATTTTGAACCATGCAGTATTTCCTTGCTCTGTTCTGATGACTGCCTCTTGGTCCAAGTATAGGTTTTGCCTAAGCACAATCAAATGTTCTGGGATTCCCATTCTTCTCAGAGTCAGACATAGCTTGTTGTGATTCACACAGTCAAAATCCTCTTGCAGTCAATGAAGCATAGATAGACATTCCTCTGGTACTCTTGGCTTTCTGCCACGAGCCATCTAACATTAGCCATAATATCCCTAGTACCACGACCTCTTCTAAATCCAGCCTACACATCTGGCAGTTCTCTGTTGATGTGTTGCTATAGTCGGTTTTGGACAGTTTTCTGCAGAATCTTGCTTGCTTTTGATATTAATGATGCTGTTCGATAATTTCCACACTTTGTCGGGTTTTTCCCAGTCAGTTGGCCAGGTGGCTGTCCTCCAGATTTCTTGACACAACTTAGTGAGCACCACTAGGGCAGCATCTGTTTGTTGAAATATGTCAATTGGTTTGCTGTCAACTCCTAGAGCCTTGTTTTTGCCAATTCCTTCAGAGCAGCTTGAACTTCCTCCTTCATCACCACAGGCTCTTGTTCGTACAATATTTCATGAAATTTTTCTGTGTCAGCCAGTTCCTTCTGGTACAATAATGACTCTGTACTCCTTCCATCTTCCTTTAATGCCTCCTGGATCATTCAACACTCTAACCAAAGCTTCTTTAAGTATTGCCACTGGTGGCTTGAATTTGTTTTTCAACTCCTTCAGCTTAAGAAACCCTGAGCAAGTTTGGCCAAAATAATTTTAAACATTTCAGGTCCCTAAATTCTGCTGTACTGAACTTTGAGGGACTTAAATTTGAACTTATCAAACTTAAAACAACTTCAAAAAACTTTCAAGATCAAATAAACACAATCTGAACTGAATTAAAAGGAATTCAATGAAAAAACAATGAAGCAAAATCTGAACATAAAAACAGGACTGACATGGGGGTTGGGAGGAAACGAAAAAATAATGACTAAATAATGAACACTGCACTGGAATAGATGAAGGAAAGAACTGTTTAAAAGTAATATACGATTAGGCATTATTTGCATGGCAAGAGTCCAGAATAAAAGGTGCATAGCAAAGTGGATTGGGAGAAGGAGGAAAGTATGCAACAATGAATGA